GCACCCCCATCCTCTTTCCCTTCCCTGCAGCCAGACGGTCCCATCGGATGCAGAGACACCGGCGGCATCACCCGCACCACCGCCAGCACCGCCACCACAGGTCACAGAAGGAGCGCAGGAAGCACAAGAAACACCCCGCCGAGGACTGGGAGGAGAACGAGGGCAATTTCTGCTGAGCAACCGGGCATAAGAAAGCACAGCCCCTTCCCATGCCCGGCAGACACCGCCCGGAGAAAAACAAGAGGGTCTGGGAGTCTCTGAGCCCCACTCCACGGCCCTCACGTCACCCTTTGTACAGAAGCTCCCCGTCCCCCTCCCGTACACGAGGCCCTCCTGGCAGGCGCAGCCATGTGTCTGAAAAGCCCAAGTCCGTCAGGCTGAGATTCGGGGGCACCACCTGGCCAAGGGACGCACCGCTCTCGAAGATCATGCTTGGCATTGGTTTGAGCTGTCAGCCAGGCTGATGGGCCTATGTTGAAATAAGACTTTGATGTATGTTTGGATTCGGGCTGAGGAATTGCTTTGCACACCAGGGATTCAACTCAGTAAGGAGTTAGCTGTCCCAGATGAAGCCCGTGCTTAAGGTTGCTGGCTTTGGGAGAAGGAAAAACAAGCACACAGCATGAAGGCGATGACTGTCCTTCCGTTGCCTAGGACTCAGACCAGTTTGGTCTTGGGATAGGCACCTGGGAGGCTGAGGCAAGAGGATCCCTGTGCATGGCACTCAAAGACACTACACTTCATGAATGGCTTGAGAATGGCTGCCCTCCCTGTGAACAGAATTAGGGAGAGGATTGAGGAGCGATATGTTGGTGTGGAGGGAGAGTATACTGCTGACCCTCCCAGGTCTACTCCAGCCCTGAGATTTGGTGGTTTGACCTTGGAGACGGATCTTTCTCATGGGTGCAGAAGAGGATGTTTAGGGTTAGCTGAGCCCGGATCCCTTTTCCTTCCATCTCTCAGGGAGACAAAGAGCCTCCTTCTTGCACCAGGGAGGTACCAAGTTTTTTAACCCGGTGCCCGTATGTACCTGTCCCCCACAGACATTGGTTGCCCCTGCCCGGGTCCCAGCCCCCCAATCTTGTCTCCAGCCTTTGCCTGGTGAGCTAGAAATGCGTAAAACTCGAAGTAGTTTTATATGCGTTCATATGGTAGACGCACAGTGTTAAACTCACACACTCACACACACACTCTCACATTTTTCTCTCATAGTTTAACAAATTTTTTAAGCAAGAAAGAACTCACCTTGCCTTCCTCCCCCAAATTTACAACCCGCGAAAACCCACCCCATGCTAGAAGCCAGGATCTACCTGAAGACCCACAACTTTTCCTATGCATCTTGGTCCTACTCAGCTCCTCTAGTCTGAGTGAAGGCTGTGGGTCTGCGTTTAAAATCATGGTGGAAAATGGCTCTCTAGGAAAGAAAGACGCGCAAACGGAGCTCAGAAAAGATAGAAATGTGTTAACTGGAGCCGGGAGTGGTGACACAATCCTGTGTTCCCAGCACTCGGGAGGCTGAGGCAGGAGGATCGCTGTGAGTTCAAGGCCAGCTTGGGCTATATAGAGTGACTGCTTGAAAGAAAGAAAGGAGAGACACAGAGAAAGAGGGAAGGTTGGTTGGTTCTTGCCTCTCCCACACGTGGCAGATTTAGGAAATGGTTGAGAAGGGCTAGCTGGACCCTTGCCTGTAATAGTGGCCTCCAGTTTCCCTGCCATGTTACTGTGGAGAAGGCCAAGGATCGAGGTTTATTGTCTTACTTCCTAACACTTCCTGGTGTTGAGAAGGTGGCAGTGATTACATCTTCTGCCACCGTGTCCCAGAAGAACCCGCCTTCATCCGGGCGAGCTGGGGACACAGTCGTGGGGGGCGTGTTTGGTGCTCCTGCCTGGGCCCTTGGCCCCAGCCCTGGCCCACCCAGCTCCCCCCGGCACTCTCCGAAGTGGAGCTTTATCTCCCAACCGTTCCGCTGGGGGTGTGCCAGTGTGTTTGCCTGACCGTGTGTGTGTGTTTGTGTGTGTGTGTGTGTGTGTGTGTGTGTGAACTGCTTCGGGTTCTGCTGGTTCCGCTGTGAGCTGCAGCGTTCTGTGGGTCTGTGGTATCTGACACTGTGGACATTAATGTATTTCTTGGACATTTTAATAAAATTTTTTTAACAGTTCAACCTGTCGGCACCTGATCATTCATTTGTTGGTTCTGCAAGAGCTCCAGGGGGAAGGCGGGGACGGGAGAGTGGTGCCTGGGGGTCAGAGAAGGCTTCCTGGAGCAGTGGTGCCATCAGGAGGGGAGGAGCAATAACTAGGGCAGCAGGGACCCGGGCCTGGGGTGAACCTGTCATCCTGGCACTCGGGAAGCTGAAGCAGGAAGGTCATAAATTTGAGCTCGCCCACCCTGGGTAACTTGGTGATCTCACGAGACTTTTTTTCAAAATATAAAACAAAAGGCTGCGGATGTAGCTCTGTGTGAAGGCCCTGGGTGCCATCTTCAGCACGCAACAGAGAGAAGGAAAAGAAAGAAAAGAAAGAGGAAGGAAGGAAAGGCCGGGGAAGGAGACAGTGCGAAAAGAGGACATGGCAGTGGGGAAGGAAGCGGGTGATCGAAGTCTGTTCCATGCACACAATAGGCCAAAATGAAACGAAACCCACTTTGTATAACTAACTTGCTTTAAAAAAAATTTTTTTTTAATGGTACCAGGGATCCATCTTGTGCTTGCCAGGCAGGCGCGGTGCCACCGAGCTACATCCCCAGCGCCCCCCTGATACGCATATTAAACTTTAAAATAGCATTTAAAAATTAACAACCTAGAGATGATTTAAGGTTCAAGGAGGGCCGGGCCTGGTGGCGCACACCTGTCATCCCAGCACTCAGGAGGCTGAGGCAGGAGGATCGCTGTGAGCTTGAGACCAGCCTGGGCTGCACAGTGAGTCCCAGGTCAGTCTCAGCTACATAGTGAGACCCTGTCTCAAAAACAAACAAACAAACAAACAAACAAGTTCAAGGAGGATGTGTGTAGACAGACTGAAACACCACTCCATTTTCTAAAAGAACATGGACATCTATGGATTTTGGCCAGGATCAGGGAATCCTGGCCAAGTTAGGAAACTTGGGTGTCTCTGGAGTGGACTTGGGGGGTGGAAGGCAGGAGAGGGTAACGTCATCCTGGACATCGGGCTTCAGGAAGGGCCTACGGGAACACGCCAAGCACAGCAACCAGGCCAGAAGGACGTGCCCTCCCCGCCCAATCGGGTAGCCAAAAATCCCAGGGACAATGTCTCATTGGTTTGCTTGGATTCATGACCCGCCCTTGGACCAAACAGGATCTCACAGGGAATGGACCCCAAGCACTCATTGGCTGAGCGTAAAGACGGTGGATCAGCCTGGAGGGCTAACCAGGAAGCTTGGATCTGCGAAGGGAGGAAAGATGCGGTCCCCGGAAATGTGCTTCTTACCATTACTTTATTATGGAAGGTGAGGCCCGGCGGAAGCCGCCTGTGCTAGATTGTTGGGGGGGGTCTGTGTTTCCGGAAGCACAGAAGGATACGCATCACTCCAGTTCTACAACCAAATCAAGACTGCACCCTTTCCCCCTTTCTGGCTTTGTCTGCATCCTAAAAACTTTCAGGGCCCCCCTGCACCGTCCCAACTCCCTTCTCCCATGCTAGGGGAAATGGGCAACCTTACTGACCTCCTAGAGCAGGAAATCCTCACATCTCATGCCCTGGGTATTCTCAAGGACCCAGTCAGGACAGAGCTAAACCAGGCGCAGAGGACCGACCACGCCTCCCAGCAGTCCGGAGGCTGAGGCAGGAGGACTGCAAGTCTGAGTCCAGCCCGGGATACGCAGGATGAGTGAAGGGTGAGAGAGACTGGCACGTGGAGCCTGAAGGATGAGGAAAGAGCTTTCCGGACGCACTCAAAACCACGCCTCTCAGCTAAGAAAGCTGAGTTCGTCAAACTGTGTTTTCTTATTCATTAAACGAATCAAAGATTTATTGAGCTCCTGCTGTATGCACTGCATCCAGGGGGCCTCAGAACAACCCTGGAACGTTGAAAGAAACAGGCTCAGAGGGGATTTGTCGCCTGGTCACACGGTGAACAAGAGGCAGGATTCGAACCCACACCCTCCCGATTCCCCAACGCGGAGGGGCGTTTCCTAGAGATGGAAGGACAGTAACAGTAACGAGCACCGCAGGTAGGAGCTCAGAGCTGGGGTCTCCCGCCACCTAGTTCAGGAGCTGGCTCTCCCTGCGGGCGTCGGCCTGGGTTCTGCCCTGGCGGTACAAATCGCCCTCCCCGGAAGGAAGGAGGTGTGGGCGGGGTCGGGGGAGGCTGGGCTGGGATCTCGGAGCCCGCACAGCTCCAAGGGCGGAGCCCGCTCTGCAGGCTGGAACCGAGATGCCCGGGGGGCGCGTGCACAGCGGCTGCCTGGCGTCTAGTTAGCGTGCAGACGGAGGGTGGGCAGCGGCTCCGGAAGTCCAGCCCTGTCTGGGTGCCGTCTGGGCCTAGGCCCACGGGCCCCTGGCTAGAAGTTCCTGAGAACTGGGAGGTCGGTTGTCATGGGGACGACGTTGACAGTCGTTATGGTGACAGCTCGGTGCGCAGAGACCCTGTGGTGGAGGAAAAGCCTAGGGGGACAGGTGTTCTGTCACCTCCGACACCAGGGTTTGGTTTCCACGGCAACAGTGTACGTGTGTGGGGGTGTCTCCAAGCTGCCTGGGGTGGAGCCTGGAGCAGGGGGTGCGCCTGGGGAAGGGGGTAGCCTGTTTCCATGGCGACAGCTGCAGTACGGAAGGCTGGGTCGCTGTGGGGAGGTTCAAGGAGGGCGGCTTCCGTGGTGGTGGATCAGGGTGGGGGCAACCCAAGGAGTTGTAGCCTCTGGGGTGAGGGCGGGGCGAGAGGGAAACGTGTGGATTCCATGGTTACAGCCCGAGAAGGGAGGTGTCCGCCCCCTGGGCGTGGCTGATGGGGAGGGCGACACTCTTGGTGACAGTGAGAAGCTAGGCAGCTGGTCTCCGCGACAGGACTCTGACGGGTCTCTGGGGCCAAGGGAAAGATCTCTTTGGTGACAGCCCTGTAAGGGGCCTGGAGTGGTGGGGCCGAGTGTGCTCCCCCTCCGGAGAAATCCCCGAGAGGTGAGCGGGGCGTGGCCGCCTCGTCCCCGGCCAGCTGACAAATAAGGGTGTTCTTCCGTGAGCCTGGCGGGTGGGACTTCCCTCCACAGCGACCGGGGATGCGCCTGTGACCCTGGAAACTTCAGGGCCTCTCAGGTGCCGGGGAGAAACCGGTCTGCAGGCCGGCGGGGGGGCGAGGGGGCGTGTTCACCTGGGCACCCTGAGGTTTCCTTTCTTTCCAGGTAATGCGAGGGGATTCGGTGTGCAGCTGATCAAAGGGACGCGTCTCCAGTCTCCAGGGAGACGCGGGGTGTGTGGCCAGGCGCCCGGGGTCCAGCCTCGGGGCGACCACGGGAGTGCTCCGTCTGTTTCCAGCAGGGCGAGGAGGGCGGGCCAGCCTGCAGGGAGCCGGGGGCCTCCGGCCTCCTGGGACCCTCAGGGAGGTGGCCCTTCTGGAGAAGTCGCGGGAGGGGAAATCCACAGTCCAGAAGAGATGGGCTGGGCAGGATCCGGGGCCCCGTGAGACTCCTCGGGGCGCGATTACTTTCTAAGAGCCC